GAGGAAGGTTTTTAACAAGGAACGAAAATAATGACCGCAAGTAAACGTAGAACTACTCTCTCTCCGAATTCGAAGCTTTAGTATCAAGTAACTCAAGCCTGCAAGTAAAAAAGTAGAACAATATCACATAACCACAAAAAGAAAGCAAATTTTGGTTATGTTATAATTATAGTGTAGACTAAGAGAAAACATAAACGCCTTTTCAAACCGCTAAATTCATTAACTTTTCCGGAAATTATATTCTGGAATGTGTATTCCTTACTTTGTTAGCAATGTTGTTGGAGAGCCAGTCCAGACCTTCGTACAGTCCCTCACCGGTGGTGGCGCATGTGCTCTGGATGTACCTGAAGAGAACAATCAAACAGTGTTGGATCTCTATTCTGAGAGCTCAGACTGAAAAACAATTGCAAATAAACTAAAACACTTCTTGATAATCACCAATGACGCTGTCGGAGAGAGTGGAGTCCAAGCTTATCAGTTATCTCAGCAGCATTCATTGCGTTTGGAAGATCCTGTTTGTTGGCAAACACAAGCAGTACTGCATCACGAAGCTCATCCTGCAGACAAAAGCATTAATAGGTCAGTCGAAAGAGCCTTAGATGCTCATCCTAAGGCTTCATTAATCAGACAAGTCTATGGCATAGCGGTAATAAGTCTGTTTCCTCATTGTATATCATCATAAGCGAAGCAAATGGGTTTAGTTATAAGGGAGGAAGTAAGTGAAGAACAGTGAAGCTACCTCGTTTAACATCCTGTGAAGTTCATCTCTTGCTTCAACAACTCGATCTCTGTCATTGCTATCTACAACAAATATCAAACCTTGAGTGTTCTGGAAGTAGTGCCTCCACAAGGGACGGATCTGTAAGAGAACACAAGTGAGCACACGTTTCCTCTTTCTTCTATTTTTCTATTTCAGGGAGATTCATAGAAAGTAACAGATGATAGAAACCTTGTCTTGACCCCCGACATCCCACACCGTGAAACTGATGTTCTTGTATTCAACCGTCTCCACATTAAACCCTGTAAAAACAGATCATTCATTAAGTCTCACGATTCAAAATACTGTTTGTTTATCCAAATCACTCGGCAATGGGTATTCTCTATCACCTAGAACACTGAATTTGACGTTGTTGTAAAATTTATTTACAAGATAAGTTTCATTTGTTTAGATGTCAATTAATATATCCAAATTCAGAAACTCCAGAACCAACATGCTCTGCAACTAAAAAAAAATAAAGTATTGAGTAGAGAATCGCATATCCAAGCAAAAAGTAGCTTAAAGGAAACATCTAAACTTGCAACGACGATAATCAATGCAACCAATAATTAGGTAAGGAGAGATGAAATGCAACCAATTATTTATGTTTTGAAGACTCACCAATGGTCGGGATGGTGGTAACAATCTCACCAAGCTTGAGCTTGTACAAAATGGTGGTCTTACCAGCAGCATCAAGACCAACCATAAGGATACGCATCTCCTTCTTGGCAAAAAGCCGGCTGAAAAGCTTTGCAAACGAAAGCCCCATTTTCCTTTCAGCTAGTGATCCTGAAAAACGCAAAGAAGAAAGATCAAACCTCACGATTTTGCTCTAAACCTCCTTTCTTGCATGAGAATGATACAAACAAAAAAATAGATCAATCATCTGCCAAAAGTTAAAATTCAACACAAGCTATACATTGCATTATACGATTTGTGATCCTTCGATCAACATAATCAGCAACGAGAAACAGAGATTCCAATCACATAAATGTAAGGATTAGAAACGTAGATCATATCAGAAAGCCAGCAGTCAACAAACAATTCGAAGCAAATGAAACCTAAACCGAAAAAAAGTATCAAACAAAATGATCGATCACGATGTATCTTCTTCAAACTACGAAGTAAAAGTGATGAAGAACCGGATAACTGCAGATTCGATATATTTCAATTGAAATTTTCAGATCAAGAGCTCCAAATCGCGGATTTGGAAACAGAAAAAACTTGTAAACAATGACGCATGACAGTAGCGAAAACGGAATTCAACAAAAAAAATTGAGTAAATTCTGTGAAGAACATGGATCGCCAACGCCAACTGAGAGAAACCAATCCAAGCAAAACGAGATCCGATGAATTTAGAACAACAAATTCGAGACTCCAAATCAAATTATCAATGAAATCTTCACTGCATGGAAATTCAGATTGAAGAAAATCATGAGAATCGAAACGATCATAGAGGTTTGGAGCTTACCTTTCGAACTTGATGCGAAGGGATCTGAACGAGAGAGAGAGAGAGAAGCTTTAATCAACGCGAGACCCAGACGAGGTTTATTATTATTCTCTAAAAGGTAATATTTCACTAACACCCCTCTAGTTATTGTATTGTTTAAATTTGACCTAAACAAATTATACGATACAATTATGGACCAAATCTGGGACCCTTTCCATTGAAAATTGTTTCTCAAGTATTTAGTATTTTACCCTTTTCATATCGAATATTCCGATAATTGTCCTATGCTTTTTAGCGATCAAAGAGTTTTGAGTATTTTTACATTTTAAAATCTCGGATGCAATATTATTATAAAAAAAAATTGTTGACAAAATTTCGAAAAGTTCCAGGGACATTGGAACATTTTGTTTTGTTTTAAAAATACCCTTGAAGAATTAATTAATTTAATAATCGACCAGAAGTATATTCTCTCTTTTTGGTGTTTAAGATTTTTGCATCATTTAATTTTTTTATTTTTAATACAATGCATGTTTTATCATCAATTTCAAAACAATTTAACCAATGAAAAAACAATTTGCAGAATTTAAACAGTCAAAACAACAAAAACATAATTAATTTTTGCATAGAAATCTAAAAATATCAAAGAAAATGAAACAAAAAAACTTTTCTAAAACATCATATATAATGAAACGGAGGAAACAAAAAAATTTTTCTAAAACATGAAACGAAACGGTGGGAGTATTTTGCAACAAGACAAACGAACATGTCGTTCAAGAATGGAGAATTAATTTAAGACTAAGCCGGCTTTAGCAAAGGAAAAGGAATGAAAATAAAACGCGGCGTTTTAAGGCGTCCATAGTCTAAATTCAAGGTTAACGTGATATTATATACAGATATAGTTTTCACAGAGAGAGGATGATGTAAAAGCCAAGAAAAGAAATCAAACAAATCCTTTAGGTGTTATTAACGTGAGAAAGTAGATGCATCTACATTTTCTAGCTAGCCCGGATTAGTTAACATGGTTTGCGGTTAAACCCGTGTGGTTTAACGCCAGTATTGAGCCCATCTGTGTATGGTTTCAACCATTTGCGGAAACAGTGCGCTTACGCTTTCATTAATCAGATCTTGAAAGAAGTGGATGCATGCTTCATCGTCCATATCAAGCCTAAACTTTTCTTGGAGCTGTATATAAAGACAGCATTTACAAGAACAATAAGAAGCAAGCAAGAGCAAATCCATTTATAAGAACAATGGTG